TAATGGTTACACAAGCCAACACATCGTTATGACATCATAAAGTGGCCAAAATCTGATCAGCTCATTTTCAGACAGGTTTTTATAGAAATGGATCAGGACAAAAAGAGAGAGAATCTTTGTTCCTGAAACTTTCAGAGTCTCTTTCCACAGAGGGGACACATGTTGATGTAGAAGAGACATGAAGAAGAGGGGACACATGTTGATGTAGAAGAGACATGAAGAAGAGGGGACACATGTTGATGTAGAAGAGACATGAAGAAGAGGGGACACATGTTGATGTAGAAGAGACATGAAGAAGAGACGACACATGTTGATAGAAGAGGGGACACATGTTGATGTAGAGGAGACATGGAGAAGAGGGGACACATGTTGATGTAGAAGAGACATGAAGAAGAGGGGACACATGTTGATGTAGAAGAGACATGAAGAAGAGGGGACAAATGTTGATGTAGAAGAGACATGAAGAAGTGGATTTTGCGTAATAGGTGACCTTTAAAACACAGATTAGGATTTATTTAAACGCTGCGTTCTGGACGTTTCACTAGGGTTAGGGTTAACATGAAGAAGAGGGGACACATGTTGATGTAGAAGAGACATGAAGAAGAGGGGACACATGTTGATGTAGAAGAGACATGAAGAAGAGGGGACACATGTTGATGTAGAAGAGACATGAAGAAGAGGGGACACATGTTGATGTAGAAGAGACATAATGACCTTTAAGAGCACTAATACTACACAAACACACCTCATTTCAAATCTAATCTAAGCCCTCTTTCCATGCATCAAAAGTGATAAACCTGCAGCCTCTGAGATGTGCATGTGTATTTTACGCACAGCCGGCCACAGTTTACATAACATCTGTGCACAGTTGGAGTGCCAAAAGGGATTGACAGCAGTGGACATGAGCTTGTAAAAAATGCATTTCTAAGACCGTGTTAACTGAAAATGTTGTTTTTCTTCCGAAAACACTGGCAGCGCTACACATGGAATAATAAGCGGGAGCGGTGTTGCAACGTCTCAACCTTTAATGAATCCATTAATCAGCATTAATCCATTAATAATTGGTTAATTAATCATATTCGCCATTAGTGATAATATTATAAAAGATGAATTAACTTAACTTGGCCAGTAAACATATCTTTTGCACTCTTTGCATTAGAGCTGTTGCCTCTCAGTGTTCAACTTAAACTTATTATTACTGGCTGGTTCTTAGTTTGACCATTTAAACTGTAAGTAAGTAATAATGTTACTCCTGTATCTCCTACCACACTACATTCTACATGTTACACTTAATTGATTTTATAAATACTGCTGCTGATTCTACTGGAACGTGTACTTTGTAAATTGTAATAATTTTGAATTTAAATGTTAAATATTATGTGCATGCCCCTCATCTAAGAGTGTTTGTTGTCTCTATCTTACTTATGGTGTCAAATGAAATGGAACTAAATAAATCCATGTGTGCGACCGTCACCCGCCCTGGACTACCGGCCGGTCTGTGATTCTCCAGAACACACAGATGGCAGTCCGCCCATCTGAAGATTAACCTTTGCTTTCCTTTGTTCCGTTTGAACAATATGCCTTGCCAGATACACTCACTTTTTCAGCTGGCTGTCATGTAGATAATGTGGGAAGCTTTACCTGCCTACTTCCTGCTAAACACATTTATTTCAGAGTGCTTAAAAGTCTAACTTTAACTCTAAAGTACGTCACTTTTAGCACATGTTGCAAATGCATAATTTCCCTGGTAAATTCAACCTGAGCGTGCCCTCCATCTGCTGCTACAAAAACAACCGGTGAGCGAGGGTGGAGGCAGCAGAGCTGGAGGAGAGAATGTCTGCATGTATTTACATCTATATCCTCAAACATATGCATCCTCCCAACAGGTGTCTGTTTGTGTGTGTGTGTGTGTGTGTGTGTGTGTGTGTGTGTGTGTGTGTGTGTGTGTGTGTGTGTGTGTGTGTGTGTTGTAAACTCTCACCTCTGCCGTCAGCCAGACAGTGGTTGTAGCCCACGGGGCTGAAGTACTCGAATATAAACACAGCCATTGCTGACACCAGCAACAGCATCACGAACATCATCACCCACACATCCGCACTGAAGGGCTCTGGAGGGCGAGAGGAGGAGGGAGGAAGGGAGGGAAGGAGGGAGGAGAGAGGAGGGGAAAAGGAGGAAGAAGAAGGGGAAGAGACGATGGAGGGAGGACGAGGGAGAAAAGGCGAGGGCGTCAGAGAACATGAAGCGAGGGAGGGAGAGGGCAAGAGAGATATGTAAATTCAGGAAGGGAAAAGGAGAAATGGAGTAGGAGTGGGAGATATGAGAGGGCAGGGAGCGAGAGGCAGAATAAATAAACAGTTAGCATCATTATCATGCACTCCAGTCTGCCTCCTCGTCACACATGCATTCAAACTTGGCTGTAATCACTAAATCACTTTTAGTTCAACTTCCGAAGGTGTAAAAATGCACGAGGACCTAAAGCGACCCACAGGAGTGCATATGGCTCTGCAGTCTGTCAGCAGCGAGACGACAGTTACATAAAACTCAAACAATGGCAAAACTAAATCCCCAAAGTTCTGCATATCTCACAAATTGCCGTTAAACAAAAAGATGTACGTGGACGAAAAACGAAAATGTTCGGGGGGTATTTAATGTACAATTTGTTTTAATTCAATCCCCTTAATAATTATATTATCCTTTAACATTTAGGTACTGTTCACACCAGTTTATTCATTTGAAATGACTGTCTATTCTATATAAAATGTATATTTTTGTATCCATTATTGTATTTATGTTAATAATTCTAACGTAATGTTGAAGCGTAGAGGGCTTGCAACTTGTTTTCCTGTTTAATAGTGGGCCTTAAGGTGGAGATTTGACTGAATATCTACCTGTACCTGTCCTACAAATTGAACGTTTGCCCCTTTAAGTGGATAAGGCTTCAGAATCACTTCAAATAATAATAACTACACGTGCCAGCAAATACACCAGGGTCACAAATCACACATCAAATATCACATTATTATATTCAAATACCGTAATATGGATATTATAACGATAATGTTTGCCAGTGGATGAATGTAGATCTACTCAAGTATTGTATTTAAAGATTATATTAGATTATTTATATTGTCACTACACGGAGTACAGCCAAATTCCAAGCATTCCCGATAACAGAAAGTATAAGCATAATTTATTTTAAATACAAGCATAATTTTTTTAATACAATGATCTCTTTAGGATAATGTTGCTACTACCCAATTGTTTTTGGTTTTATTTGAATTTGTATTTCATTTCAAGTTTGTGTAAGATATGGAATGTCTTGTAACTATGTTGTTTAAAAGAATGAAAAATTAATAAAACGTATTAAAAATAAAAATACAATGATCTGTGCTCCTTACCTAAGAAGGCGGAGGGCGACACGGTGCCGTTGCTCCTGGAGACCATGACGCTGATGCCCGTCTCGATGAACGGGACGGAGAAGTCGATGACCTCCGACCTCTCCTCGTTGATCGTCAAGGAGCCGACGGCCATGTGAGCGTTCTTCAACACCACCTAGAGAGGGGAGGGAGGAAAACAGAAAGCGTCCGTTATTCAAACATCGTTCCTCCATTTAATGTCCTTAAACTGAAACCTTTCGTCTGGGTTACATGTGTTCTTTGCTTTAAAACAAAACAAGATGAGTGTTATATCGTATACCCAATAGGCGCGTTCACACCGCAGTACTTTTCCCACTTTAGTTCTGATATAGTTCCGAAATGTCGCGTTCACACCAAAAAGAGCCGGAACTAAATTAGTTCTAGAGAACCTTTTTTACCCCCTTTTCCGTCCCTGCTAGAGAGCAGGGACTTTCGTGGGAGAAAAAGGTTCCTGTGTCTGATTGGCTGGGCGGAATGCAAACCACGTTTGTGAAACCGCCATTTTATTATCCTCGTTATTATCATTATTAGCATTAGCATTAGCCCAGCGCAGAAACGCAGAGAGACTAACTTATGGCAACACAAAATAAAACATGGGAGCGGTGGAGATGAGGAGGTGTCGGCGTTCTGGCGATTTACTTCTTACAACTCCGGGGACTTCCGGGCGGGGATTTTGGGCGGCAGTATACGCCGTGAAGTGGTTT